CAAATTTGTTTAAAATCTTTAAACAACCTCTTATGAATAACCATGGGTCCCAGGATGTTTATACTTTGCAAGTTGCATCCTGAGATGAAAGCCTATACAATGTGTTCAACATAATGACTTTGTTCGACTTTCAATCACAGGGGTGAAATGTTTAAAAAATAAATAACAGGGTCTTTTGAACGAATTTTAATCATAAATACTGATATTTTGCCTGTAGCTTTAATTTAGATCACTTTTAAGGTTACAAGTGTGAGTTTTATACCGGGTGAGCGTCTTTTAACCTCTATTGAACAATTTAACAGATTTAAGTCAATTTACATGTATAATGAGTAATGAAGAGCTTCAGGAAGTGGTTTCTGAGTTTTATTCAAAGGAATTAAGACATCCTCAAAGTTACATTATATCTGCACCCCTGGAAGAGTCATGAATGTCGAAATTGATAGCCCTGACTTTTTGATGTTTGTACAGCAAAAAAATTGCGTAGCAGCGTTTTTTGCTGATTTTGTCATGACATTTTCCAGGGGTGCACAAAATGTAAGTGAGCTGATTATGAAAGGATAAGATATGGCACACAAACTGATGGTAGAGCAAGGTGGCTGCATTCGTTTATAAGGGGAGATGGCGGTAACTCTTTAAAAACACTACACAAAAATGACCTAGCAAAACAACTTTTGAACCATTCCTTATATCAAGCAAACATGGACATAAGCATAACAAATTTTGGAGCACCATTTTTGCAAACAAATTAAGTTAATGATACTAGGTGAGCTCCTAATGGTTAATTAAGACCACTGGGGTATCTAAGTGTAAATGGGAGAAAATTTTATTGTTAAGTTCCTATAAAAGGTCTCTGTTATCCAGCCAGACCTTGCTAGAAAGAAGCTTTTTAGCTCACCTGGTCCGAAGGACCAAGGTGAGCTTATGCCATACCGTGGCGTCCGTCANTTTAATCCTGCAATTAGCACCAACTGTAATGGCATACACATACCGGGTACATATTTTGTGTTGCCTATGAAACACTCTGATCACTCTGTTGGCGCATAATCACATTTCCTAGTGGTTACTCAACTTGAAGAAATGTTTTTAATCTTCATGAAACTTTTTTAACATTTTTAAAGTATCAAATGCCATTCTAGTTTGACTTTGATCTAAATCTGAATATCAACATAATTGGCCATTAGCAGCCATCTAGTTGTTTATGAAAAGTCACAACTTTTGTTTACATGCAATAACCCTTGAAGAATTGCTTTCTGATTTTGACCTAAAACTGAAAACACGACTGCAAGTGAGGGCGGCAGTACATCCACTTCTGTGGAAGCAGGCAGTACATCCACTTCTGTGGAAGCTGAGGCAGTACATCCACTTCTGTGGAATTCTTAATTTGCTTCATCCTTGCAGCAAAATTGTCAAACCAGTTGCTATTCATGACATTGATATTATGCATTATGTTTGTTGCCATATTCTTTGTTAGAAATCAATGTTTTCTAGAGCAATAGCTTGCTTTTTATTGTTTCTACAAAATCAAAGGGTCACAGTGTGTCAGTGTGGGACAAATAGAAGATAGCTAGTGGATAGTGGAAGCTCTCAAAGGCCTCCATCTTTTTTTTTCCTTAAATTTGTAAAGGCTTTCTATGTAAATAATTGGTACATGTGTTAGAATGATTTTTGTTTTGCCACACAAATATGTAGCTTCAAAAGAGATAAAACCAGAAACCTCCAAATATGCATGAAAATATTGCCATGTATCAGTTCTTACATTACCTACAGAAATTTACCTAATTAGCCACACAGTCTAACTTGTTCACCTGTGTATTGTTATTACCGACTGGTAGGCCAGGTATCGGATTGAAATGGAGAAGTTATTGATTGGTGGTTGATTAGAATTGCCACATTTTTTCTACTGTAAAGGTAAAACAGTTTAAATCCCTTTGGCTGATGAAAGATTTATCAACTTGGCCAACTTATAGCTGCTAATTTTCCTGGATTCACTTCAAGTTTTCAATGAGTTCAATGTGATTTAATATTTATAGGAAATCTGTTTGAACTAAACGTCACATACATTGTGTACAAATGCTGTCATTTGTGCACTAAAGTTCATTGCACTGAGGTATTAACATACGTGTGAGGATTTTTGATATCTACATTATGTGACGGGTCAACCAAACTAAGGTTAGTACCATATATACTAGTCAAGAAAAAGGGAGATACCTGCAGTGATGGGAATACCATTGCCAGGCAGTCAAAGGAGTTGCAGGAGGATATTGTAATTTGCATTGTCTATCAGTTTGTTTATTCGTGTTTTCTTTCTGCTATTTGTTTGCCCAGATTTCTATTTGTCCATCTATCCAAATGGGTTTCAGCTTTGTGGGCAAAATATATGTGTAGTGCAAAGATATCCAAACAGACATGGCTGACATTTAATGCAATCACATATTTTGGTTGTCCATGATAAATTGATGACCATGGTGGATTTCAAGATCAGAGGTCAAAGGTCAAGGTAATGGATGAAAGTTTCAGTTCTGTTTGAGTGGTAGGTACACCTTGTAGGCATTATAATGCAAAGAACGAATGTTTATGGTATCTCATTTAAATTTGGTATTATAGGCATTAAGTCCATAGGTGAAAGGTCAAGGCTGTGGATGACTTGTTGTCACCATGCTAGCTACTTCATTTCTCTGTCTCAGCACCGGGTGTTAATTAAAACCAATGTCACTATTACTAGCTGTAGAAAGTCTTTGTCAGCTATTACTTTGAATAATTTTGTGTTTAATGGTCAAAAATAGTATTTGCATGCTTTCAAACATCATATATCTATATTTGGTATGTAACAGGTACACATGTACTGTGGTATTCTAGACCCTAACTTGTAAACTGCATCAAATTCTTTATTATACTTTTCCCTTCATCCCTATATGTATACACACTCTCCCTTCCCAAATTGAAGGTCACAAGCTGTAACAAACTTTTGCTCCTTAAAAGAAAACACCAAAAAAATCTCATATTTTCATTTCTTTTCGTTGAGTGGTTTTTAAGATATAACAAGTTATTTAAACATATTTTATTTGCACCATATTGTTCTTTACCCTAGAAAACATTTACTGCAATAAATTAATTCCAAGACTTATGCATCATACAGTGTGTACTTCAAAAACTGCATTTAAGAGAAATTAGGAAAACAGTATGAGTGATCTCTTACACAAATTCTGTCATTATTCATTTTTTTGTCTCAATAGTATTACAAATGACTTCGAAAAAAATCATGTGACAATAATGATAAAGGTGATTTGTGAATGGTCTAATGAAATGAAATTTGCACTAGAAGAAAAATACTGCTAAAACCCATTCAGGATACCAACATTAATTGCTTCAGAATGTCTACCTTGAAATCAAAAGGAAAACTAAATTCAGATCAATAGGGAGTATCTAGTTGCCAAGCACACACAGGAAATATATATGCTGTTGATATATGACAGAAGTTAATAATAATCTATACAATCTCTGACTAGATCTCCTGTTACTTGTGACAGAAGCTGTACTTTCTGTCTACAATGTCTTTAATTTTCTTATTATTGGATACATACTCTATTAGATTAAGGATCTTCTATTCACTCAGGAATTGGTTACTGTGGGTAAAATGTTGGAATTCTGCCAATGTTGTACTTTATTGTTGAGAATCAGGCAAACACAAACATTGTACAGATATAGCAAAGAAAAACTCATAGTACCAAAATAAATTAGGTGTCTATATCTGAACCCGTTACGAATCCAAACCCTATAGCTACCCCGTTTTTAGATGTAGTGTTTTGACGTTGTACTACACAAGCAGCAGTACAAATGTACCTGCTGTATTCCACTGTACACTATATATATTTTAGCTCACCTCACACCAGTCTTACCTTATTTTATATCAGATTGTATCTGCTGTCAATCTATTCACTGTTCACATTTTTCTTTAAGTCTGTTTGTCTATGATCAGCTAAAGGTATTTTGACTAAATTTTGTATGGAGCGACCCCGGTACAAAGGAATTTAAAGTACTGACTTGGAGCATATGACCGTCTTTTTACTTTGACCATGCATCTTTACTTTTGATTTGAAATACGCAATGGCCACCCTGGCCTCTGATTGGCTGATAGATCTTTTGTTTCCCTGTTAGCTTCCACAAGAACATTTCTATCCATAGTAGTATGAATACCATTGACATAGCTTTAAACCGATGAATATTGTTATTTTCAGTTAAAAAAAAATAAGAATAATTCTCAAGTTCCAGTGGGTTGATCCTAACTTAAACAGTTCAGATGGTTTTGTAATTACCCTGACAAAAATGTCACTTTTTAATGTTAGCATTATTAAGAAATTTAAGATAACTTACAGAGTTACAAAATTGCAGCAACATTTTCAACATATTGTGTACAATGTAGATCTGATCACATATAGAACCAGATGAGTAATAATAAACCCCTCTGAATGGGCTAACTTACTAATTGTTACTTTTGCATGTTTTTTTTTAAATGGCACACTTACCATTTACCAATGTTCCACTTTAAATAGCCTTTGCTTATTAGTTGATATCCTCACCAAGTTTTACAAAGATGACAGGTGAACATTTTATCATACTTGTGCACATAGCAAGAACTATATATAAAGCATTTTTGTAACCTTTATGACTTCAGATTGTCAAGGCTGCTCGGCGGTTGGAGCTGGTTGTGTGTCGGGTGGGGCGGATTCCAGGATCGTTTGAGATCCATCAGATGTACAAATGGGTCGACCCGTACGGTAGAACTGTACCTCCACCCCCAGAACTGGAACAGATTGCTAAGTTAGAGGCGGGGACAATCGGACGTAGGAGTGGACTTCTGCTACTCAAAAGTAGTGACGAGAGGAAGGTAACATATATGTACCTTTAAATTTTACAGTGGGTTCTACTTATTAATTGTCACATTGTTTTACGTCAAATTTTCCTGAAACCCCACTACCTGTAACTTATCTGTGTGTAATATGTTTGTGTGTACTGAATCAGTTATTTTAAAAGTCTTTAAAAAAACCTGTTTGAATGTAACTAACAATATGCATATCATGTGGATGGGGATATACACTAATATTCAGTTTCTGCCAGAAGTGTTTTTATTGGTATGAGTGGTTGATCTGGTAAAGCTATAAGGGGCAGTGGTCCACTTAAGCTTAGTATCAAAAAGGTTTGATCACCACATTATACCAGTACGTTTATCTGTTAGATCCAGTTACTACATATGTACTAATATGAGAACTACTTTTACTCAATCACCCCTGAAGACACATTTGAACTCTTCAAATTCCAAGGTTGGAATAGTTCATTATACAATTTTCAGGTGTGAATGAGATAAAGTAAATGATTTTATCAAGTCAAATATCTCATTGCCATCCTTCCTGTCATTTCTACAGAAGGGTTTCATATAAATAACATAAAATGAATTATTAATGCATTTTACAGAAACACATCTATTCAAAACTTGTGCATTTAATATGAAAACAGAAATTAACATGAAGAACAAAACACTGATGCTAACGCTGCTATCCAGGAGAACTCAATGTATTCCAACCGTCAAAATGAAGAATACATATTGTCAAGTGATGAAGTAAAGCTCTCTAAGCCAGAAAACTCCTGCATTTCTGTGTGAAAGGGAGAATACTCCCCATGCAGTAAATTGACTCAAAAATTGAACTCTTCTTTGCGATCATACTTGATGCAGTGGCGCCCTTACAAGTATAATGTTACATCAGTTGTGATGTAGTCTAAAGTCTGACACTCTGGTAATGTTTAGGTAAAGGGCCACTACCACTGCATCGGTTATGACTTGTAGTGTTGGTTGCAGTAGTTTCCTGTCAATGTTTAAATGTGATGTTTGGATTGTTACACCTTGAACTGTTTCCAGGTGAATGTAGCAGTAGGGGAGAGAGACAAACTTGGGTTGATGATAAGAGGGGGCCTGGAGTTTGGCCTTGGAATCTACATCTCTGGTGTTGACCACGGGTCAGTGGCTAGGAGTGCAGGACTAAAGGTCAGTCTACAGCGTTTTCTGGTTTAGACTAAGCAAAATAAATCAAGGTAAGAAAATCTAAAAAAATGACGGATAAGCAAAAAACTATACTGATATCTAGTATAATCCATTATTTGTTGATCTTAATTGGTTTTGACGGAACTTTAATGCTTGGATTTTCCCATCAAGTTAGTGTAACACCTAGAGTATCCAGGATGGACTTTTCCTGTCTCTATATTTAGCCTGCATTAACCCAATAAAATTTAGACATTTTCTTTCAATTTAATGTTGAAAGAAAAAATCCTCAAATCTATAAATCTATGACCAAAAGTGGTAGTTTTCTTGTTAAGAATTTTAGATTTTACCTCAACAGAACTATTTGATTTTCTTACTTTCCCAATTGATGCTTTGTAACAAGAAGGACTTGAGAAAAAACAAAACAGGAAAAGTGAATGTTGATGCTTTGATGTGCAATTAATTTTTCCAAAACTTATAGAATGTAGCAATTTCCGAAATACATTGTACCCAGGAAGAACACTGCATTGAAGTTTAAATTTTCCTTAGAATTCTATCTTACATGTATGTTTATAAAGCTTGTATTTGCATAAATTAATGAGCATTGCTTATTAAACATCATATTCTTAACTTAATGGTCTTTATACTGATCAACATTTAAATGTGTTTAGTTAGATTCTGAAATGCTTCTTTATAACTATGGTTCTGTGTTCATATGTTCATTTCGACCTGCTAATTGCATCTTACACCTGTTTCTTTCTGATTACAAAATCAAAAGTTATTTTTTTCTTAATTTGAAATATTTCACCTGCACACCTGTACAGGTAGGTGACCAGATACTAGACGTGAACGGTCACAGTTTCCTGGACACCACTCATGCCGAGGCTGTGCGTGTGCTGAAGACGTCTCACCTGATGGTCATCACTCTCAAGGATGTAGGCAAACTGCCCTTTGCCCGGACCACCATTGACAAAACACAGTGGATCAACCAGTCCCTGATGACAGGCTCCCGATCTAGTAGTCAGTGAGTACAAAATCAGCTCAATGTCAAACACACAATGTCAGACAGATAACATCAAACACACAATGTCAAACACACAATGTTAGACAGATAACATCAAACACACAATGTCAGACAGATAACATCAAAAAAACAACGTCAGACAGATAACATCAAACATGCGATGTCAGACAGATAACATCAAACATGCAATGTCAAACGCTCAATGTCAGACAATTAACATCAGACACACAATGTCAGACAGATACCATCAAACAAACAATGTCGGAGAGATAACATCAAACACACAATTTCAGACAGATAACATCAAAAACACAATGTCAGACAGATAACATCAAACACACAAATTGTCAGACAGATACCATCAAACAAACAATGTCAGACAGATAACATCAAACACACAATGTCAGACAGATAACATCAAACATGTGATGTCAGACAGATAACATCAAACACGCGATGTCAGACAGATAACATCAAACACACAATGTCAGACAGATAACATCAAACACACAATGTCAGACAGATAACATCAAACATGCAATGTCAAACACACAAGTATAAAACACTAAATGTTTTCACTCTCTTCTTAAAATTTATTTTGTTTGTTATAGACTGTATATCAGTAGGTAAAACGTTCCAAATCTGAATCCCGTTGTAAAAGAAAGTCTTTGACATCTGACCTTTTGCACATGGCACTGTAAAGTTTAAAGATGATTTTCTAGTTGCGTATCCATGGCGTTCATTAACCCCCGTAATTTTTTCTGTAATATAACTTGGACAAGTTTCGTGAAATACATTAAACATATGGTTTAAGCCCAATTGCTTTGCTCGGTTTTCAACATTCAGAAGATTCAGATTTGTTAAGACTTTACAATCTATTCTCGTCCTTGGCCAAAAATCACAAATAAAACATACACATCTGTTCTGTGCTACTTGCAACTGTTTTTTTAACCTTTAATTTAAACCATAATACCAGGCTGAGCAGCAGTAGTCAAAATTACATAGCACTAGAGAATTACAAAGCGTCTTTCTTATGTCCAGAGGAAGATTTTTACATTGTCTGTACAAAAAATTGATCAATATCAACGCCAAGGTAGCACACTTTTTCTGATGCTTTTATTGTTTGGCCATTTACATTTATTTCGAAGTTGTCAACTTTTTTTAGTTTTTGTCTAGTACAGAACAATATACATTCCGTCTTGCCAAGATGTAAGGATAATTTGTTGTTTACCAGCCATATATTACAATTGGATATTTTCTGGATAATTTATTTTTAATTTCCTCAGGATCTTTTATAAGAAAACAAAATAGCGCTGTTGTCTGCATACAATAATAATTTGCAGTCGGTACTTATGCTCAGTTCCATGTCATTAACATAGCATAAAAATAAAAGTGGTCCCAGAATACTACCTTGTGGAACGCCGCATGTAACTCTTTGTGGTTTTGAGAAAACATTTTTGATAGATACAAGTTGCTCACGTGAGGGCAAGTATGACATGAACCAGGATACACTTTCTATTCCCATTGCCTTCAGTTTTTCACATGAAATTTCGTTGTCAACAGTGTCAAAGGCCTTCTGTAAATCCAACAATATCATTCCAGTATGTAGACCCTTCGACGACTGACATTTTAGATGGTCAAATAAATCTATCAAAGCGGTGTCTGTGGAATGATTTCCTCTGACTGATGTGTGTACAATAGATTATTTGAGTTGTGTCCGTATGCAGACCTTTCTAAAATCTTGGACACAATATTCAAAACGCTGACTGGCCTATAGTTACCGGCGTCCGTCCTAAATTTCTTTTTGTATATAGGAGTTACTCTTGGCGATTTTAAGGCATCGGGTACAGTTTAAGAAGACAAAGATAAATTTACAACATGTGCAATTGGTGCTGTTAAAACACTTGCCCCATCTTTGAGAAAGCGAGCAGAGATACCATCTAATCCGGTACTTTTAGAGGGATTAAGTTTAGTTTAAACCCACATAACTAAATTTTGAAAAATATTTAAATGATGTTATGCTTCAGCATTGATGATTTCCAATTTAGATATCTGATAAGTTTATAAGTAGAAAAATAAGCTGCAGAAAGGATTCTTTAAGGTTTTTGACAAGGGAACACATACTACTGAATGTTACAATGCTATTTTCCTTGATTACAGGCTTTCCCTAAGTACAGGCACCCTGACCTCTTCCAGTACCCTGACCCCCAATGTAAGTACAGGTACTGAGAGCTCAACAGCCAGCCTCACCCGCGATGTAAGTACAGGTCTATTGTTTAACCTCCATCTTCCCAAATGTATGTAACAGTCTTCTGTGTACCACCCGACAACCATCACTCCAATTTACGTGCACTGATTTTCTGTATCTTTCAACCTGAGCTACATCCGATTGTAAGTACACACAGAAGGTACTCTGCACGCTTCAACAATCCTCACCTGAAAGTCAGTTCTGTCTTATATAGATAGTACTTTCCAACCACCCTCATTGTTTTACCAATTTATTCAAGTATTCTGCTATCTCCGACCACCCTCAACCACAAGTCGTGTTCTTTTTTTATTCTAAAGTTGAGCCATACGTGTAGGTGGGCCACTATAGATTGCTTGCAATACTGTCTTGTTGATTGATGATTTGTCTACAAATTTTGTTTCGAAGTATATTTAAAAATTTGTTAATGCTATAAATAATTTGTAGTTATTTTTTTCAGCTGAATATGTTGAAAATTCTTTAATATTTTCCTGAATTAAAAAATATTCCTCTTTCATTAAATAAAACATTTTTTACTGACAAATACAAATTTAAATAATACTGATTTAAAAGTATCTGTAGTTATAATGTATGATAATAAACATTTACCGACACTTCTCTCACAGTCTGGATTCTCCAAGGGGGCGGGGTCTCAGCTAATGCTGACCTCTCTGGCCAACTCGAAGTGGAACATGATAGAGGAGGCGGGAGGTCAACAGCTCAACGAAACGGAGCATGGAACAATGCGATACTACCTAAAGGAGTACAAGAGGAACCACATTACCGTGGACGGACTCGTGCTAGCTCTAACGGAGCTCCTCAACACACATGCTAAGGTAGGCATTGTCAGCAATAAGGATTCAACAGAAAATATTGATATTGAATAAGAGAGATATTTGTGGATTAAGTTATTTAAGTTATTTGAATATGAATTCCTTCCTTCTTTTTTGTCAGATATGTTCTTTATATTTCATCACCTGCTCGTCACCCTATGAAATCTTTATGATATACAGTGGTCACTCTATTTTCAACCACCTTTATAAACAACCAATCCCTCTATGTGACCATTATTGTGTGCATCAATGTTTTTCAATCATAAATAATCTCTTCAATAAGCCCCTGGCCAAGAGTTGAAAACTACACTATAATTTCTGTGCTGCAAGCAACCATATTTTCACTGATCATAACATGCAGTTCTTTAAGTTATCTCCCCTAGTCTGCATACAAAACTATGGCGACGGCATTATCTCCTATACATTGTCATTGTATTAGTAAATCTTTGTGTAACAATCTGATTTATATTACAGTATACCTTGATGTCCGAGATAAGAACCATCATCCTTGCTAAGGACTTGGAGAAGTTTGACTTGCTCACCAAACAGAGGGAGATAGAGTCCAGAATGGTGAGAACGTTACACAGTGATATATAAAATATCAGACATGATTTTCGGTAGATTTCTTCTTGTAACAACTGGTTCTGCAGGAATGAAAAAATATAAATACTAACAGAAGGTGCAGTGGTGATGATGACATGTTACCGTTGATTTTACAGTATGATTATCAGTATAAAACCGTTGATTTTACAGTATGATTATCAGTATAAGCCCATTGATTTTACATTATGATTATCAGTATAAAATGTTTTTTTCAGGCACGTCCTGCTGACTTCCTATTCTCAGACAAACATGCAGACAAATATCCCGACAGACACTCCAATGTGTCTCATGAAGTGAAAAGTCGCGGAAAGAAAAAGAGGTCCCATATGTCATCTTCCAGACAGGTAGTGTATTTTACGTGGTATAATGCTCTTTGATTAACTCATTCACCCCTGAAAACACATTGGAACCCTTCCAATTCATAGGTTGGAATAGTTCATTATAAAGTTTCAGGGGTGAATGAGTTAAGTACAAATTGGACCTGGTGATCTCAATCTACTTTAGTTAGACTTTCCTTTTATTTACTTGTTGCCATTTTCTTCTGGTCCTAACTGATTCTTGCATTTCCAGCACAAATTGGCCATATGGTGAAAAAAGTTTGACAGTATGTAAATCTTGGTTCAAATCCCAGCGTTGGGGTTAACTTGTACCAACCATACTCTGAACAGAGTGTTAAGATAATAGATAGTTTCGTTTATTTTTGGATCAGCCTTTGCAGAAAGTATTGATTATCCACTTCATTTTGAGTGTTACATCTTTGTGTTGTAAATATAAATCAGAAACAGACAAGGGTCGGAGAGAAATCTTCCTGAACTGTCACTGATTTAAAAAACAAAATCATATTTAAACCATGTACAGGTATTAGATACAAGAAAAAAAATGTTTCTATCACTGATGAAATGCTATCTTATAGTCTATATTAAATAATTTCTACAAAAATTCTGGTATACTTCTTTGTTAATTTGCAAAGTTTGCCGTTTATGGTATTGCTTTAAAGGAAATATCTTAAGAACTATATTCTGGAAAATAATAATTGATATAATGGATTTTTATTCATATTCATGCTTGTTTCTTAAACTCTTTTGATAAGTCATTGTGTGTATTTGTGGTAGAATTCAGACAATGCGAGTTATCGGTCAGAGGACAACTCAAGAAGATGGGCTGACAAACGCCCTCCTTCCTCTCAGGTAGGAAAGCACTAGTACTGTAAACTTACATAACTTCGCCTTATTTTAATGTTAGTGCTATTCATGCTCTTAATATCGCACTAAATTATGACTGCTCTATTTAATTTAACTTTTTTTAACTTAATTTTTACACTAAAATTACAGTCCACTAAAATAAGTATTTTTACAGACCTCTGTCATCAGTCTTGAGATAATTCATTCTAATATTGTCAAAGATTTAAAACCAGGAAAGTAGTGCTTGAAGTGCTGTAAAACCTGTCTTAAGATATTACCTTGGGGAAGTCCAAAAGGTTGTCTTTGATGCAGGTTCAGTTTATAATGAAACCAATACGAACATGGACAATTACTGGAGTCTTTTGACATAGGTGTCTCATAAGCATGTTTGACTGTATCTAATTGACATCATAATGTAGCTATTACATCTAAATACAAAGGGCCAAGTGAGCTTATGCCATGGTGCGTCGTCCGTCGTCCGTCTGTCATCCAACTCATATTCAAGGTCACAGGGTTCAATTGTCTAAAAAAACTTAAAAAAACTTCTTCTGAATAACCAAAATGCCCAGGATGTTGATATTTGGTCATTAGCAGACTAGGATGAAGGGCTACTAAGTTTATTCAAATAAATGACCATGACTTATATTTAAGGCCACAGGGGTAAAATAGGTTTGAAACTTTTAAACGACTTATGAATGACTAACAAGCACAGGATGATGATATTTGGCCCGTAACATGATGAGATGAAGGGCTACTAAGTTTGTTCAAAGGCAAAAAATCATGTTTTCATAGTATTTTAACACGGGGGAAACAAAATGGCGGCTATTTCCGACACCCATCGGCCTCCCTACAAAAGGGGCAGGATGATGATATTTGGCCCATAACATGATGAGATGAAGGGCTACGTAAGTTATTCAAATAAATGACCTTGACATTTATTCAAGGTCATAGGTATCAAATATGTTCATAATCTTAAAAGGACTTCTCCTGAATAACCTTGAATTATATTCAATGTCACAGGGGCAAATATGTTCAAAATGTTTAAATGACTTCTCCTGAATAACCAAAATGCCCAGGATGTTGATATTTGGTCAGTAGCATACAAGGATAAATGGCTAACAAATTTGTTCAAATGAATGACCTTCACTAATATTCAAGGTCACAGGGGTAAACTATGTTTGAAACTTTTAAAGGACTTCTTCTGAATAACCACAAGGCACAGGATGATGATATTTGGCCCATACCATGATTAGATGAAGGGCTACTAAGTTTATTAAAATGAATGACCTTGACATTTATCCAAGGTTACAGGGATCAAATATGTTCAAAATCTTAAAACGACTTCTCCTGAATAACCTGAAAATGCTCAAGATGTTGATATTTGGCCAGTAGCATGCTAGGATAAAGGGCTACCAAAAGTATGTTCAAATGAATGACCTTGAATTGTATTCAAGGTCACAGGGGTCAAATATGTCTAAAATGTTTAAATGGCTTCTTCTGAATAACCAAAATGCCCAGGATGTTGATATTTGGTAAGTAGCATACTATAGGATGAAGAAGGACTAGCAAGCTTTTTAGGTCACCTGGGACAAAGTTTCAAGTGCATCCGTAAACAATTTACATTTTCGACTTCTAAACCCCTATACCAATATCAATTAAATTTTGCAGAAACCTTCCATGGCCAAAGGTCAACTAAAATTGTGAATTATATGGTCCCCAGCCCCCAGGGGCCTGAGGGACGGGGCCAAAAAGGGTAAAATTGACTAAAATTTCAAAAATCTTCTTCTCAAGATCCAGATATGGTAGAATCAAATACTCTTCATAGATGTAAGGGTCATAAGGTGCTTTACTAAAATTGTGAATTTCTTGACCCTGGGGTCTCACGTTTCCCCCTGGAGAGGGGGTAAACTTTACTATAGTTTATATAAGAAATCACATTTTGGACCAACATTTGTTTAATTGCCATTGGAAGTAATTCAATTTAGGTTTGCATTATCAGTATTGGATAGCAGTTTGATGGTATGCACATATCAGACCTGACTGACCCCCAGGGGCTGATGGGTGGAGCAAAAAAAGGGTTGAATTGACTGAAATTTCAAAATCTTCTTCTCAAGACCAGATAAGGTAGAATCAAATTCTCTTCATAGATGGAAGGGTTTTTAGGTGCTCTACCAAAATTGTGAATTTTATGACCCTAGGGTCTCACGTTTACCCC